TTTGCAAAATAATTCCTGGGATTAAATTGATGATTGTTTTGGGAGCGCTCGGGTTTGTTAATGTATTGTTCCAAAAGGGCGGTTCTGATACCTTTTGGGAAAATATATAATAATTCGAATAATTGAAAAACAATAATACCTTTTGCAAAATAATTCCTAATAATAAAGCATTGAACATTTTTTGTGTACGAGGGTGGGACATCAGAGATAAATCTCAGTCAGCGCCAAGAATACATTGCTGGATTCGGCCAGTGACGGGCTAAGAGCACCAAGATAGTCTAATAAACTGTATAACCATGGCAACCACTATCGTCCCAAAACTCAAATTTAATGAATATCTAAATCAAAAAATACAGGATAGAGCGGGAGGGAAAGAACAGTATAAGACAGTGAAGAAAGTGTGGGAGGGAGTGAAACTCAAATGGACACAGGCAGGTTACTTTAGCGGGGGTGCCCCGTCTAAAGGGCAACTCACCTCTATGGAGAAAGAGCTAGGGGAGGCAGTGAGGGAAGGAACAGAAAGTGAAGTGGAAAGGAATAAGTCTCACTTATTCAAGAAGGAAGGGACTAAACACAGAGAGAGAGCAGAGGCTGAGCTAAGGATAGGTACGTGGGCAATTGAGGAAACACGACGAGCACACCCATACAAGAAACCAGACATGATGGGTGTGGTGATTGAACCCACAACTGAGACAACACCAATAGTGGGGACACAGTCCATGAGTGACATACCAGCGCCCTCAGCACCACTGTATCCGACCCTGCCACAGGAAGCGAAGAGCACACCACCCGCATACACACCCACTCCTCCAACTAACCCTTATAACCCATTCCTAAGTCCTGCAGTGGTACAAGCGCCTGTGTTCGTGGTGCAAGGAGGACACCTAGAGGGGAACATGGCACTAAGCGTAGGGCAAGGAGTACTTCACTGTGTGGAAGTCCGAGCCAACAGCGAGCCACAAGGACGAGAGGAGCCACACCCGGCCGGCGGAACCCAACCCAGACCCAGTCCCACAAGAGGGGGTTCCAACCCAGAGTCCCTGGTAATGATGACTCAAAACCAACCGTCAGATCTATACAGGAAAGGGGGAGCATCTGGCCTAAGACAAGCAGCTGCACCCAATCAGCCTAAACCCAGACTCTCAGAATGGTTTGTCGAAAGAGAAAGGGGAAGTACCCAATCCATGACAGAAGGGGGTGAGGGGACAATGAGCTTTGGGGGTCGTTAGGGTCTGGCTCATTAAGAAGCTCACAGGGGGTCTCAATCGGGGACCAACCAAGTGAGGATGATGAAGGAGAACAAAGGAAGGAAGAAAAAACCTATGAGGCTGAGTGGGATGCGTGTCAGGGACAGGCGTCACATAACACCACCATAATAGAAGAAGCAGAGAAGGGGAAGACCTGGGCCTTGAAAGGGGTGATGGTGGGGGAAGTTGTTGACTTGCATGAACCCATCAGAGAATCTGCCAGACTTAGGGAAAGGGGATTGAACTCCCAAATGCCACTTAGACCAACAGCAGACCGACAACATGAAGAATACCAACCCTGGAAGATGACTGACCTGACCGCCCTGATGGATCAGATGCCCAGCCTCCATGGTGGAGCGTCTGCTTGGCTGTTGCAACTTCAAACCCTTACATCTGGATTTAGGCTTGCTCTGGCAGACATGAAGGCACTCTTGGCCAGGGCCACAGATCACACCACCATGATGGTACTGACAAGAGAGGCAGGTCTGGAAAAGAGCGGAGGTGTGACGCCACCGGAAGTCTATAGAACTGTGTTGTGGGAAGTTCTGAGGAGGGCATATCCTACCGAACGAAACCATGCAACACTGACCTCTTTTACCATCGGTCCTGGGGAACAGCCAGCTGCCTACCTGGACAGGGCCAAAACCACCTGGAGAACGGTCCATGACGAACCATATGATCACTCCGACACCACGTGCAGCATGTGGAAAGAGATGGTGGTGAGCGGGACCCCAAGTGACGTTCGAACCAAACTAAGGGGAACTGTGGGATTAATGGCACTCCCTAGGGCGCAGTTTAGCTCCCATGCTCATCATCACATCACCCAATACAACAAAGACAAGGGAGGGGCGGAAACACATGTCCAATCCCTGCAGGTGCAGCTGCTCAAACTACAACTGAAAGAGGCACAGAAGGGAGATAAGCCAAAGAAACAGATGGTGGCTGAAGACCAACCTGACATTTCTCAAATAATTGAAAAAACTGTCTCACAAATGATACAAACACAACAGCCGCCTCCAACAACACTCCCAACGATCGCAATGGTGCCTCAGCCATACTATCAAGCACCAACTCCACTATATCAGCCACCGGTGGCACCATACCAGACTCAATGGGGACAGCCAAGGACACAAGGTAATGGGGGGGCCTGTTACAATTGTCATCAATATGGACACTCTGTCAGATGGTGTCCATTACCACCTAGTCCGCAACAGCAACACTGGCTGGCAAACAGGGGTAGAGGTTATGCCTTCAGATCAAGAGGAGGCCCAAGACCGATGTACCAGCCACATGCTGCCCTACCAGCATATAACCACCCACAACAAGACCCAAACCAACAGCCTAACCAGCAGCCAGCTCCTACCTTCCAGGGCATGACAGACAAATATTCTCCCTGGCCCTGAAGCTGCCCACCACCACAGAACGGGAATGGGGGTCAGCATTTTCCACTCCACACTGAACCAACTGTCATGTGTGAAGTGGAGGGAGTTACCCACCAATTTTTGGTAGATACAGGATGTACGTACTCTGCCATAAGATCTCGTCAACCACTCTCTTCGGAATCAATACAGGTGGTGGGGGTATCAGGAACACCCGAAGCACAAAACAAGACCATACCATTGCTCTTCCAATGGGGCCCTTCCAATTTGAAGCATCAATTCCTATATTGTCCCAACTGTCCAATCAACCTATTAGGAAGGGACCTATTGTGCAAACTGAAATGTTCAATCTACCTTACCGAAAAGGGTGTGGAGGTTTCCATTGATCCCATTACCTCCACACCAGTTCATCCAGTTAGGGTGCTGATGCTACCCATCATCCCAACTCCAGTGCTCTCCCTGACCCAAGAAATATACTGGTTGAAGTGCATCGAATCCGGCCAAGGAACCCCTGAGGTTCAATTCAAGTTCAACCAGCTGAGACAACTCATTTACACATTTCACCCATACAAGACTCCTCAAGCTGAAATACACTGTACACTTAATGTGACTGATAATGATGTCAACCCATATACCGATGACTGGGATGAAAACATGATGCACCTGACACCAACAATCAGATGTTGTACCATAGTGTGTGGACAAGAAGGGGTGGCTGCTCCGGTTATCCTACCTTCCCATTTGAAATCCTGGTACCTATTGGGCGAAGAATCTGCTCCCCATGTTACACTGGCAGTTGGACACGGTTTTGAAGCAAGGAGCCTTGGGCCTATGATCAGAAGAGCATCCAAACTCCAGTGGGAACCCACCCAAACTCCAGGAATAACCAAAGCCACCACTGAGAACATGTGGAGGTTTATGACAGTTGACACAGAGGAACATTGCCTTCCTGAACGTTTGACTCTCCCAAGACACCATGGTAAACCTTACACAGACCACCCCTCATCACAAGCACTGCTTTCCACCATTGATGAAGGCATATGGACACACACCCCATTTGATGTTGGACAACTACAGGTGGCACCAGTCACCATCACCTTACTCAACCCTGAACAAATTCCTATCTACCGAACACAGTACCGTCTGAAACCTGAACAGACCATGGGGATCAAACCAACCATAGATGGGTTGTTGGGAGCTCGTGTCATATATCGCACTGTGTCTCCATGGAACACACCAATCTTACCAGTCTTGAAAACAGGAGGCGAAACATACCGGATGGTACAAGACTTCCGAGCAGTGAACGACGTCACTGCACCCATTGACCTACCTGTCCCTGACCCTCACATTACACTGAGTAATCTCTCACCAAAACACCAATACTTCACCGTTGTGGATCTGGCTAATGCCTTCTTCAGCATTCCACTGGATGAGGCTTCACAGCCTCTCTTTGCCTTCACATATGAACATCAACAGTATACGTATTCGGTTCTTCCACAGGGTTACAGGTGTTCTCCCGGAATCTTCAATCATATCCTAAAGACACACCTGGCTGAATTGAAAATCCCTGAAGGAGTGATACTCATCCAATATGTAGATTACCTTTTGCTGGGGGCTCCCACATCTGATCTCTGTCTACAAATGACAAAAACCCTACTTGACTTCTTGGCTGTCAAAGGCTACAAGGTCAAAATGAGCAAAGTCCAGTCCTGTCGCAGAACTGTCCTTTTCCTTGGCAGAGAAATATCAGGAGAAGGTGCTGGTCTCTCGAAATCCCACCGAGATTCCATACTCCATCATCCACGTCCCATCACAGTGTCAGGCATGTTGTCCTTCCTGGGGTTGACAGGGTACAGCCGTACCCACATCCCTGACTACACATCCAGGACTGAACCACTGAGAGAAATAGTGAGAGAAGCAGGACCAAGAAACTTACACTCCTCACTTACCTGGACACCTGAAGCATCAACAGCATTTGCTCTCCTAAAAACCGATCTCTCGGTGGCAGCAGCTCTGACAGCACCCGACTACAAAAACAAATTTCATCTTGATGTTTCTGAAAAGGAGGGGTTCACTTCTTCCATCCTTTTTCAGAAACAAGAGGGGGAGAGAAGAGTACTGATGTATCATTCCTCTAAGTTGGACCATATTGAAGCAGGTCAGACAACATGTTCCAGGTACGTGGCTGCAGTGGCAAAAGCTATTGAAAAAACCGCCCACCTGGTAATGTGCCACAAATTGGAAATCCATACGCACCATGGGGTTGCAGCATATCTGATGAGCAAGGAATTCACGTTCAGCGCTGAAAGAAAGAACAAAATCCAGAATAAATGCACCCAATCACACATTACTTTTGTCAACACCGACAAAAAACATGGCAGACGCACTCAATGCAGAAGAAGGGTTGGCACACTCCTGCGAAGAGAGGGCGGCACAGGAACTGAAACTGCGACCAGACTTGGGAAACGAACCCCTTACCAATCCTGATCTATGGTTGTACACCGATGGATGCTGCTATAGAGGAGAAGAAGGGAACATAGCAGCATATGCAGTGGTACAGCAGCTTCCAGACGGGTCACACGTGACCCTGGAATCAGACATCATCCCACAACCTGCCTCAGCCCAACTAGCCGAGATCATTGGTTTGACTCAAGCCCTGGAAAAGGCTGAAGGAAAGACTGTGAACATCTACACTGACTCAGCATATGCTCATGGAGCAGTCCATACAGATGGACCACAATGGGTCAGACGTAACTTCACCACAACAGGAAACCTTCCGATCAAACACAAGGCACAAATGGAGAGACTGATAAAAGCAGTCTCACTACCTGAGCAGGTGGCCATCATGAAGTGCAAAGGACATCAGCAACTCAAGAACAAAGTCAGCGAGGGAAATGACGCAGCTGACAAAGCAGCCAAGAAAGCTGGGGGCTACACTCCAAGACAGATGGTGCTGCAGACTCAACCAGCTAGAACAGAACTCACAGACCAACACATAAAGGAACTACAATTCACAGCGGGCCCGTATGAGCACTCGGTATGGGGACAGATGGGAGCCACCAAAGGACCTGATGAACTTTGGAGATGCCATGACGGCAGGTTGGTGGCCCCAGCTAATCTCTGCCCCGAGCTGATACGTGAGGCTCATGGGCCCACCCATGAAGGGAAACTCAAAACTTTACAGAAGGTTTCCCATATTTGGTGGCACCCACACATTAAGGACATGACAGACTTGTTTTGTGATGAGTGCAGCATTTGTGGCAGCCACAACCCAAAGAAACCTTTCCAACCACCCATGGGTTCATACCCAGTACCTAATGCATGTTTTCAGGACATTAGCATAGATTACACTGACATGGGGGCTGATAATGTAACTAATGGGAAAAGGTACTTATTGGTAATGGTAGATCGATTCTCCAAATGGGTTGAGGCAATACCAACAGCACGTGAGGATGCTAGGTCAGTTATTAAGTGGCTGCAGACTGAACTCATACCAAGGTATGGGGTTCCAAGACAAATCCGATCCGACAACGGGTCCCATTTCAGTAACCAACACCTGAGACAGGTGGAGGAGAGGTTCGGCATTGTGCACAAGTTTGGGTCTGTGTACCGGCCGCAATCTCAGGGCCTCGTGGAACGTGCCAATCAAACTTTGAAGGCTAAGATAGCCAAGGTATGTGCAGGTTCAAAGTTGACGTGGGTTGAAGCTCTGCCCCTGGCGTTGATGGCCATGAGAGCCTCTCCAGGAGCAGGCACCCATCTCTCTCCACATGAGATTATGACTGGTAGAGTCATGCCTGGTCCACCAAGGGAGGGAGGTCATATGCCCGCCCTTGATGTACAACAAATTGTAATGTCTGAATATGTGAGAAAACTAACGAACTCTCTGCAGCTCTCTCCAAACAGATTCACAAGGTCCAAGAGGGGGAGCTGACGGGAGATCCGGCGCCGCTGAAGGTAAAGGTTGGCGACTGGGTAAGGATCAAGGTTCACAAAAGAAAGTGGCAAGATCCCAGGTGGACTGGACCGTACGAAGTGAAGGAGGTTACTTCACACTCAGTCCAGGTCAAAGGTAAATCAGGCGCACCTTGGCACCACTTGACACATTGTACACCAGCACCAACTCCTTCCAGAACCCTGACTGAAGTCAGAAGTGATTTAATCACATTAAATTCGGATCAAATTCTTGACACCAACACTATCTGAATATGTGGAGGAGACTCCCATCTTCAGATACTGGAGGGGAAAGACAGAGGAGGGACAGACCACCATGGGAGAGACTGGGGTGCTCTGCTCCACTCCTTGTTTTGCTGATTGTAACTATTGGGGTTACTCTAGGAATCATACTCTGGTCAGTACAGCACATGACACAGACACCCATTACACCCACTAGTAAACCTAACGACACATTCAATGCCACAACCATACGTCCGACCAACCTGCACTCCGACACATTGAGCCCAGATCAGAATGTAAGCCACAGCCACCACGTAAATAAACGACAAGTTGTCTCTAACACCCTTTCCTGTGGGCCCAGACAATTGTATAGAAGCACCACATTATGTATACCCTTTAATGTTACCACTACTGCGACAGTGCCGTGGGTAGACTTCAGAGAACTTACCTACTACCGTGACTGGGACTGGTATATGACAGTGGGGGTCACCCATAGCGATTGGACTTGGACAAACTTGGTATGTGAGACTAATTATGACTGGTCCAGTTGCACCTCTACTACATTAGGAAAACAATGGAGGAAACTCTTGACTTTGACAAAAAACTCTAAAGGACTCAAATTTACTATCTATCCTGGTATTGCATTAGGCTGCCAGGACTTTAGACTTGCTCCTTATGTAAGCTGTACCACTGCACCAGTCCATTGGAATGTTCGAATTTGTCATATTAATAACACAAAAGCACAGGCTATTAATGAAAATGGTAATAAGAATAATTCTATTATTTTACTTACCACTCCACCTACTTTGGATGATGCAATCCTGACCGCTACAGGTGTCTCCGGCCTTTCTAACAACTGGCTCTTGTTGACTGAGGAAGCGGCAAAGGTGACTCATCAGAGTTGTGTGGTTTGTATGGGGGCACGGCCATTGCTTCGCATTATCCGTGCCGCCATTACGCCAGAATGCTTCCTGTCTGTCATGAAACATGACAACCCTTCCGCAAATTGTACACTATGGGACGTAGTTCATCCCTTGGTTACTAAAGCAACTAAGAAACCAATTTTTTCCTATCAGGTGGCTAGAGCTAACTTTACCTGTGTTAATCTCACGAAAGGTCTACCATTGTTGGGTATGGTACCTGTTGGATGGGTCGGTTTATCTATACGCCTAATACTGAGTTTAAACCTGTTTCCAGGGCTGATGTCTGGTGGTGGTGTGGAGGCGTTCATCTGTTTGATGGACTGCCTGGAAATGCCACAGGCACCTGTGCACTAGTCTCTCTTTTGCTACCAATTCTGTGTATCCAACAGGTGTTCAGGAGCTGGTGACCCATGTGTCTGACTTAATTCCTACCAGGACCAGGCGCGCTGTGGGCCCTACTCATGGGGACCCAACCTACATTGATGCAATTGGGGTCCCTAGGGGGGTACCAGATGAGTATAAATTGATTGACCAAGTAGCCGCAGGTTTTGAATCTTCATTTTGCTGGTGGTGCACGATTAATAAAAATGTTGACAGAATCAATTATGTCCATTTTAATGTTCAAAAATTAGGCAATTGGACACAACAAGGTTTTGAGGCGGTGCATGGCCAGTTGGCTGCGACCTCTCTCATGGCTTTCCAAAATCGTATTGCTGTCGACATGCTCCTGGCTGAAAAAGGAGGAGTATGTGCTATGTTTGGTGAACAATGTTGTACCTTTATTCCCAACAATACAGCCACAGATGGCAGCTTGACTGTCGCCCTGGAAGGGTTACGAACTCTTAATGGCAAAATGAAGAGCCACTCAGGGGTGGATACTTCAATGTGGGACTCTTGGATGGATGCGTTTGGTAAATATAAAACGCTTGTTTCTTCTATACTTGTATCCATCTCTGTTTTTGCTGCAATTCTAGTGCTTTGTGGATGCTGTTGCATTCCATGCATACGGACGCTGACAACCAGGATTATAACCACCGCTATTGATCCACATCCTGCAGATAACGGTCAGATGTTTCCTTTGCTTGCTATTGACGATGCTGACCAAGGATATCTGGATGATGAATAGCATTTAAGCTTTTTGTCACGTCTCTTGTGAGACGTGAAGAGGGGGAATGTAAAACTTTATCTTCTGATAAAGTTTTCCCTATTTTGCCAAATTGCAGCATTTAAGCTTTAATGTCACGTCTCTTGTGAGACGTGAAGAGGGGGAATCAAAACTTTATCTTCTGATAAGTTTTCCCTATTTTGCCAATTACAACTGTTAGCTTGTGTCACGTCTTAAGTTTTCCTTCTTTACTGTTACTTGGTCACGTCTCTGGGGAGACGTGAAGAGAGGGATTTGTCGTAGTAAATATATAATGTTATAGCTTGGTCTGACTAAAATCTTGTGCATGACCCATCTTGTGTTGGGCCTTTGTATTTAATACAATGCACAAAGACTTCTATCTTGTCGGCCTTATCAGCAGGTGGCTATGGACAACACCCACGCCATAGGTCTCTCAGTTTCTCCCAACTCACGACTTCTTGCTCTGAGGACATACACACACACACCCCCACACACACACACATATACACACACAACACACACACACACACATCATCATTGTTAAACATACACACACATACACACACACACACACACACACACACATACACACACGCACACACACACACACATCATCATTGTTAAACATACACACACATACACACACACACACACACCACACACATACACACACGCACACACACACACACACACACACACACACATCATCATTGTTAAGCACACACACACACAAAAACCCCCTTCTCTTAGGCTGAACATCTGAAGACAGAGAACCCGACTCAGAGCCAATGCAATGGAGGTGACCTCGACCAACTCATCAGGACCAATCAGAAGATCAGAACTACTAGAATCAACCTACTTTATTTTATTGTATAAAATGTCAGCACACAATGTTTAGGGGCTCGCTCTCAGATATCTCCCTACGAGGTTGACGAACGGGTCCGTGCACGCTATTTACAGATATCTTTACCTCTGAATAAACTGCCTTATATTATACAATTATCCACCTTGTCCGAAAGTCTCTACTTGGTCTCCGTTCTCCAGTAAACTTGTGATCATCAACACACTAAAGTCTTTTGGACTGTACCTCTGCCTCCTGCGCTTGATTCATTCACCACACCCACCTTCAGCACCCCTGACAAAAACGATTGGAACCATTTCCCTGTTTGACCGCAAGGTTTTATGGGTATTGTGAATCATACTGTGGTACTCTATTCTCAACACAACAATAATCTATTTGGTAGACTATTTGAAGCGCCCACTGCCTTCCGGCAGGCTATGCGATTTAAAACAATCCACATCTTATTTTTTTTAAAAAGAAGTTAATGTTCCTCTGATCCTCCAAATCATGCTTTCTGGTGTAGTAGCCTATTTTAAATGATTTTATGTATTTCTTTGTCCGACTTGAGGCACCTTCAATGCTGAACATTCACTCTGATGCAGTGCTCGTGGCACAAATACACATGCCACCTTCGACATCAATGAGTCTGGTTGTCTCGCCACCAGGTCAGGGGATTATCCGTTGGGTCAGGCTGTTCCTGCAGGTAGTGAGTCAGTTCAGTGTCTGCACAGACTCTGAGGGGTATACTGTAGAGGCAGTGGTTTGGGCCCTTCACTTCTGGAGATCACCTAAATTCCCTTTCTTGGCAGGCGGTGGCGCACTCGCTCCATCGTTCGAGTCATCTCCCCCAGTCGCAGCAGTCCCCCCGCCTCTGCCCCCCGCCTCTGCCCCCCACTAACTGTCACCCGAGAGAACATCAGTGAAGTCAGCCACAGGTTTCAGTGCTGCGTGGACTGATGACGTCTTTGTCCTGCCATTTGAAGATGAGGTGATTATGTTTACGATCCAAGACCAGGACTCGTTTGATGGCTGGTGCTTGCTCCAAAACCCTCTACCATTTTCTGTTTGGTCCCACTATGTTAAGCAATTCTGTGGAATAAAACATAGTTCATACATCAATTCCTCATCCATATATTATACACATGTAACATGTAGGATTCCTGGAATATTTTCTATATTATTATTTAATTATAATCAGTGGTTTAACTAGAGTATGATTGGCAAAATAAAACAAACAAAACAGGCTCATTTTGTTGTGAAAATACAATGGGCCTATGGTAATGCAACATTGAATGATTCAAGGAAATTAACCTATTTTGTTTGTTTATTTGCTAGGGCATCAGAATAATATACGCTGAACAAAAATATAAACGTAACTGGCAACAATTTCAAAGATTTTACTGATTTACATTTTCAGCTTCCAAGAATTGTATTCAGATCCTTGCAACATTGGGCCGTGCATCATCATGCTAAAACATGGTAATGGCGGTGGATGAATGGCACGACAATGGGCCTCAGGATATCGTCACGGTATCTCTGTGCATTCAAATTGCCATCGCTAAAATGCAATTGTGTTCGTTGTCTGTAGCTTATGCTTGCCCATACCATACTGCCAAATTCTTTAAAACGCCATTGGAGGCGGCTTACGGTAGAGAAATGAACATTCAATTCTCTGGTGGACATTCCTGCAGTGAGCATGCCAATTGTGTGCTCCCTCAAAACTTGAGACATCTGTTGCATTGGGTTGTGACACTAAACTGCACATTTTTAGTGTGGCCTTTTGTCTCCAGCACAAGGTGCACTCATGTAATAATGCAGTTTAATCAGCTTCTTGATACTTAATCCACCTGAAAGGTGTGGCATTTTTAGCAAATGAGAAATGCTCACCAACAGGGATGTAAACACATTTGTGCATAGAATTAGAGAAATAAGCTTTTTGGGGCATACAGAACATTTCTGGGATCTTTTATTTCAGCACATGAAACATGGGACCAACACTTTATATTTTTGCAGTGTTTTAAACAAAACCAGCGTGGATTGCAGTTTCTCCTTGTCCTTAGACTGCAAGGTAAGGAAACAAATATTTTAAAATTTCAGTGAACTATTCCTTTGACTTCTAAAAATGTTTGTAGCGACCTTAACACAACACCTAGCAAACTCATTTAGAGTTTCAGACCTCTTGGCGTAACAGTTAAGGTGTTGGCTTGACAGTCGATGGACCTGGGTTCTAATCCCAGATCACATCCAGATTTAGCAACAATATCAAAGTGCCTGATCCCTCTGTTTGTGCTTTGCTTTTCATAATACCCATAACCTCAATAACTCACATACAACACAAGGGGGCATTCAGAAATTGCCATCAATCAAATCTAACAAAAAAATGAAATGCAAAAAGTTGCATTTTTACCCGTAGAATCAGTTAATTTGTCAAATTGTGAAATAAAAAAGTTGACAAACATAACGATTAATTATTCACGTTTATTACTCAACCTCAATTGTATTTTATAAACAATTATTTGGTGGAATTACAGTATGGAATTAGATTGAGAAAATAATTATCTTGGTCAGAATTTCATGAGGATGTGAAATATACAGCCATCTTTGTCAAAATACAAAGCAGTAACTCAGTATTTTGTACTCGACCTCAGATCATGAATAGAATATGAAATACATGCATTTTCCAGTAGATATTAACAGCTCTGAACATAATTATGTCATGGTGAAGTCCTTTGAGATATACAGTAGATATAACAATGAGTGCTGAATGTTTACAACAGACATCTTTGAATGGGGTAAAATAGGTTAGCCGTAAAAGGTTTAGGGACTGTCCAATGATATGAGTCAGGTATATTGGGATCTGACACTGCATTTTCTGTCTGGGGACTAGAACATGACTTGGAGCCTGAAGTGGGTCTGTTTGTTGGAGTTGTTGCTCATGCCTATCTTCAGCATCCACCTCGACTTCATCTTCTGGACAAACTTCATGTCCTTCTGGTTCTGATGGAAAGAGTTTTTACCTAGACAGAGAGCAAGGAATGAGAGGATGAATGAATGACCAAACCCATTCATCAATAAATCAGTCAGCCATTCAGCAATTCATTGTATACAGTGTTTTGCAAGTTACTGCTGTGGTCACATGTCCCATACCGTCCTTGATCAAATACCTTCAAAATACAGTCCCGTGGGAGATCAACAAAAAACAGGAAGATATTTTCATTGTGGAAAATTGGAAGTTTCAGTGAAACTACATGACAAATCTAGTGGGTCAAGGACTTATCCAAACCATAAATAAGTTCCCTTTTTTCTTTATTCGTTTAAATAAACAAATCAAAAACAGGACGATGCAATCTGACGGGGTGAAAATGTAGCACAAAGTTTAATTCAGTGCTGCAACAACCCTCCCCTAATAAAGGCTATAATCACTGGGCTTTTGTACCGCATTGGTTTTCCATAAGGGTAGAACAAAAGGTATACACTGAAGGTTTAAATAAAGACTATTGGTTTATCCCTAAATCAAATTTAGTGAACACTCAGGATCATCCCTAAATGAAGCTCAATTAATGTATAGACTGGCTTATTCATTTCTATATGCACAGTGTTAAGTAATGTATAGGTTCACTCAAGTATAGAGCTCAGTAGTGAATGTGTAGGTACAACCCTGCATGACCGTAGTTTATGTGTAGTGTTGACCCTTACCCATATCTCCGCCCCATCCCAGGGCCTTGTACTGCCTGAGTACCCGACCCACTGCGTTCCTGTTGTGGGCCAATGCCACAGTCTTGGGTGCACCGAAACGCTGCTTGTAGTATCGCATCAGAGAGCGGTGGCCGATCTTAGCACCTGAGGAAAAACAGCGGGAGGTAAGAAAAATATGTATTAGTTGAAATAGCTCACATCAACACCATCATACCAGAAAACCTGGACCCACTCCAATTCGCATACTGCCCAAATAGTGCCACAGATGACGCAATCTCTATTGCACGCCACATTGCCCTGTCCCACCTGGACAAAAGGAACACCTACGTGAGAATGCTGTTCATAGACTACAGCTCAGTGTTCAACCCCATAGTGCCCTCCAAGCTCATCACTAAGCTAAGGTCCCTGAACACCTCCCTCTGCAACTGGATCTTGGACTTCCTGATGGACCGCCCCCAGGTGGTGAGGGTAGGCAACACAGAAATGCCAATGGTGGAGGTGTTGCTGTTTATACTCAACCACATTCCTGTAAAGCTTAGAGGATCTCACATTAAACACTGTTGAAGTAATATGGCTAAAGGTTCATTATCTGGATAACGTGTGAAATGCTTGATAATTTGTGCATCAACAGAGGTATACTTTCTGGGTGATTCAAATATTGACTGGCTGTCATCAAGCTGCCCACTCGAGAAAAAGCTTCAAATTGTAACTAGTGCCTGCAGCCAACCTACCAGGGTAGTTACCAACAGCACAGGTATGAAATCGTCAACATGTATTGATCACATCTTTACTAATGCTGTAGGAATTTGCTTTAAAGCAGTATTCAAATCCATCGGACGTAGTGATCACAATACAGTAGCCATATCTAGGAAAACCAAAGTTCCAAAGGCTGGGCCAAATATAGTGTATAAGAGGTCATACAATAAGTTTTGCAGTGATTCCTATGTTGTTGATGTCAAGAATATTTGTTGGTATGTGGTGTGTAATGAGGAGCAACCAGACGCTGCATTTATGAAATTGCTTATTCCAGTTACTAATAAGCCTACACCCATTAAGAAAATGACTAAAAACTGTTAAATCCCCTTAGATTGATGAGGAATTGAAAAAAGTGTATGGTTGAGAGGGATGAGGCAAAAGGTATGGCAAATAGATCTGGCTGCACGACCGATTGGCAAACATACTGCAAATTGACAAATCATGTGACTAAACTGAATAAAAATAAACTATACTATGAAACAAAGATACAATATAATGAATGATAGTAAAACGCTTTGGAGTACCTTAAATTAAATGTTGTGCAGAAACGCAAACTTAGCTCCATCATTCATTGAAACAGATGGCAATTCATCACAAAACCCACTGATTTGGCAAGATTAACGAATTTAGGCATGACATGCCAGCAAAACGCTGTCACTACACATCCAAGTATAACTGATCAAATTATGAAAGACGAGCATTGTAATTTTGAATTCCATAAAGTGATTGCGGAAGAGGTGAAATTGAGTATAATAGCGGACGATATTGCCACTACTATTTGCCATATCTTCAATGTAAGCCTACTTGAATGTGTGTGCCCTCAGGCCTGGAGGGAAGCAAAAGTAATTCTGCTAACCAAGAAGTGTCTATGTATGCGGATGACTCAACACTATACACGTCCGCTACTACAGCGACTGAAATTACTGCAACACTTAAAGAGCTGCTGTTAGTTTCAGAATGGGTGGCAAGGAATAAGTTAGTCCTAAATATTTCAAAAACTAAAAGCATTGTATTTGGGACAATTCATTCACTAAACCTCAACTAAATACTGTAATGAATAATGTGGAAATTGAGCAAGTTGAGGTGACTCAACTGCTTGGAGTAACCCTGGATTGTAAACTGTCATGGTCAAAACATGTTGATACAACAGTAGCTAAGATGGGGAGAAGTCTGTCCATGAAGCGCTACTCTGGCTTCTTAACACCACTATTAACAAGGCAGGTCCTACAGGCCCTAGTTTTGTCGCACCTGGACTACTGTTCAATCGTGTGGTCAGGTGCAACAAAGAGAAACTTCGGAAAATTACAATTGGCTCAGAACAGGGCAGCACGGCTGGCCCTTAAACGTACACGGGGAGCTAACAATGACATGCATGTCAATCTCTAATGGCTCAAAGCGGAGGAGAGATTGACTTCATCACTACTTGGTTTTGTAAGTGTTGACAAGCTGAATGCACCAGGGTTTTGGTTTAAACTACTAGCACACAGCTCGGACACCCATGCACACCCCACCAGAGGTCTCATCACAATCCCCAAGTCCAGAACAGACTATGGGAGGCGCACAGTACTACTTAGTCATGACTACATGGAACTCTATTTCACATGAGGTAACTGATGCAAGCAGTAGAATCAGATTTAAAAAACATCTGAGGGAACAGCAGGGACTGAAGACACACGTACACATGGATTTTGTATTGTAGATATGTGATAGAGTAGTGGCCTGAGGGAACACACTTAATGTGTTGTGAAAAGTGTCATGAAATGTCATGTAATATTAAAATAGTATATAACCGCCTTAATGTTGCTGGACCCCTTTGCAGCAGCTAATGGGGATCCTTAATAAATACAAATACATCCACCACCCTGACCCTCAACATGGGGTCCCCCTCAGGGGTGCGTGCTTAGTCCCTTACTGTACTCCGTTCACCCACGACTACGTGGACGCGCAGACTCCAACCCCCATCATCAAGGTTGCTGATGACACGACGGTGGTGGGCCTGATCACCAACGATGATGAGACAGCCTATAGGGAGGTGGTCAGACCTGACAGTGTGGTGCCAGGAAACAACCTCTCCCTCAACGTAGGCAAGAAAGGAGCTTATCGTGGACTACAGGAAACTGAGGGCCGAAACACACCTCCATTCAAATTGACGCGGTTGTAGTGGAGCGGGTCGAGAGCTTGAAGTTCCTTGGTGTCCACATTGATCATGGTCCAAACACACCAACAGTTGTGAAGAGGGCACGACCACGCCTCTTCCCCCTCAGGAGGCTGAAAATATTTGTCACGTCCTCAAATTTCTACAGCTGCACCATTGACTGGCTGCATCACCGCTTGGTATGGCAACTTCTCAGCATCTGACCGCAAGGTGCTACAGAGGGTAGTGCGTACTAGGGCGGTATACCATATACCGGGGTATTTACAAACAGCCACAGGATGGTTTTTCCCAATACAGTCTATACCGTTGAAACTATTTATTTGAAGTTTTTCAATACTTGTAGCTACTTTAAGTAAATACCTGCAGTCAACTTGTGCAAGACGTTAGGAGATAAAGCATATTGCATTCTTCATTTCACCGGTCACATTTTACATTTTGAAGCTTACCATAGTTCCCCAGAACAGTTAAGCCAGTCATGTGTTTGTAAATAGCAGAACGGGAGAAAGCAGGAGCAGGCGAGCACATCTGTCTATGGACAGTGGCCGCGTTTTATATTGAAAGTCTTTTTTTTTTTTTTTGCTTCAATAGTCATCAGGGACGTGTAACTATAGTTTTTCCTTCACAGAAAATACATTTGTGAAACATTTGGCAGAAAGTAGCTTCATTTTCATTAGCTGGCAGCCACACAAGAAATTAGCATACAATGAAAAAGCATGGTATTTTTTTGCAAAAAACGATGCATGGCCATCATATTTGTAATGTTTATCATACAAAGAATATAGCCAGCTACATTTCCTAATGTTTTGCGTCAAGTTAATCTTGGAAAAGTACTGTAGAAAAGTAACTACACATAAGTCCTCTGTAGCTCAGCTGGTAGAGCACGGCGCTTGTAACGCCAAGGTAGTGGGTTCGATCCCCGGGACCACCCATACACAAAAAAAATTACATGTATGCACGCATGACTGTAAGTCGCTTTGGATAAAAGAGTCTGCTAAATGGCATATTATTATTATTATATAAGTCAGCGCTGTCTGCTGATAGAATGCCCGTTCGTGAATGTAGAAGTGTAACTGAAGCACAAAAATAGTCTGATACCGAGCAGAATTTACAATAAGCATTTTAGATCTGTATTTACAAAATGCAGCAAGATATTTTATGCGTTGTTTTTTTTTTCCTGCGTGAAAAACGCTGAATTCTGCGTTTACACGACCCCTAAGTTAAACTTGCTATCTAAGTTAAGTGGCTGAATTAATAAGATGACGGGGCATCAGTGTTAACTTTCTGCCGTGTTTGAGTCGTCGAAGCCCTTTGGATAAGTTCTGTACAGCTGCCATCTTGATTTTCTTGTTTTTTCTCTCCTCTCTGTTCTCGGCCCATCTGCCCCCCCCCCCAACTTTATAAAAAAATAAAAAACTGAAATACCACATTTACATAAAGTATTCAGACCTTTACTCAGTACTTTGTTGAAGCACCTTTGGCAGCGATTACAGCAGAGTCTTCTTGGGTATGACACTACAAGCTTGGCACATCTGCAGATCCTCAAGCTCTGTCAGGTTGGATGGGGAGCGTTGCTGCACAGCTATTTTCAGGTCTCTCCAGAGATGTTCGTTTGGGTTCAAGTCCGGGCTGTGGCTGGGCCACTCAAGGACATTCAGAGACTTGTCCTGAAGCCACTCCTACGTTGTCTTGGCTGTGTGCTTAGGGTCTTTGTCCTGTTGGAAGGTGAACCTTCATCCAGTCTGAGGTCCTGAGCGCTCTGGAGCAGGTTTTCATCAAGGATCTCGCTGTACTTTGCTCTGTTCATCTTTCCCTCGATCCTGACTAGTTTCCCAGTAACTGGAAATAATTCACACAGCATTATGCTGCCACCACTATGTTTCACCGTAGGGATGGTGCCAGGTTTCCTCCAGACGTGACGCTTGGCATTCAGGCCAAAGAGGTCAATCTTGGTTTCGTCAGACCAGAGAATCTTGCTTCTCATTGTCTGAGAGTCTTTCGGTGCCTTTTGGCAAACTCCAAGCGGGCTGTCATGTGCCTTTTACTGAGGAGTGACTTCTGTCTGGCCACTACCATAAAGGCCCGATTGGTGGTGCTGCAGAGATGGGAGAACCTTCCAGAAGGACAACCATCTCCACAGAGAAACTCTGGAGCGCTTTCAGAGTGACCATCGGGTTCTTGGTCACCTCCCTGACCAAGGCCCTTCTCCCCCGATTAAATCAGTTTGGCCTCATTTAAGAATGATGGAGGCCACTGTTCTTGGGGACCTTCAATGCTGCAGAAATGTTTTGGTACCCTTCTCCAGATCTGTGCCTCGACACAATCCTGTCTCGGAGCGCTACGGACAATTCCTTTTACCTCATGGCTTGGTTTTTGCTCTGACATGCACTGTCAACTGTGGGACCTTTTATACACAGGTGTGTGCCTTTCCAAATCATGTCAATGAATTGAATTTACCACAGGTGGACTCCAATCAAGTTGTAGAAACATCTCAAGGATGTTCAATGGAAACAGGATGCACCTGATCTCAATTTCGAGTCTCATAGCAAAGGGTCTGAATACTTATGTAAATAAGGTATTTCTGTTTCTTTTATTTTTAATACATTTGCACTAAAATTCTAAAAAACTGTTTTCGCTTTGCCATTATGGGGTATTGTGTAGTTTGATGAGGGAAATATTAATTTAATAAATGTTAGAATACGGCTGTAACGTAACAAAACGTGGAAAAGGGGAAGGGGTCCGAATACTTTCCGAATTCACTGTATATAGCCAAGCTATCATTCCTCATTGTGTATTTATTCCTAGTGTTTAACTTTTTATTCTGCATGGTTGGGAAGTAAGCAATTCACTGTTAGTCTACACCTGATGTTTACGAAGCATGTGATTTTTTTTTTTTTATTTCACCTGAGGGAAGGGTGAGCTCCAGCGTATCGTCATCGTAGTCTATGTTCTTCCCGTCCGGCAACGCTTCATCCTCCATCTCAGCATCCTCTCCCTCTTTCTGGTCAGGATAACTTGTCCTACAAACAGCATTTCACAAAATGGCCGCTTGAGAAATTGCTAATATATAATTACAATCAGTACAGCTTGGCTCAGCTCAGGAGTGTGAAAAAGGAAGACTATAGGAGCCCTGGTATTTGACGACATCTACCTGAAGTCGTAGAAGTCGGCAAACTCCAGTGACGCGTCTCCGTCGGTGAAGAGCTTGCAGTGGCTTTTGTCGGTCATGTGGCCCTGTACGGCCTCAGTGGAGTAGAAGGATCGGCCTTTCTCATTACACCACAGACACACCTTACCAGCGCCCACTTTCTCTCCTGCAACACAAAGAAAGGACAAGTGATTTCAATAGCAGAGAAATGATGCAAGACAGACTCCAAAAAAACAGACTCTAAAACAACCATGCCTGTAGCTTAAAAATGAGAGAAGGTATGGCATAAATGCCTGCCATACCTTACCTCATTGTTTACCTTCAGATATGTAAGTTACCAGATCCAGAGATGGCTAACCCTGGAGATCCCTTCAATCTCCACAGTTAGGTAAATTTGCTTTTAGTTTTTTTTGCATGTCATATGGAATGATTTCAAACTCCTTTAAAGTTGGTGCCTGTAGGGCAATACAGGTGGATGATAGAGGGCCTTTTTACTGAAGAAAGCATTTGTTTCATACAATTGTTTTGCTTTTCATGTTTTGGGTTTGCTTTTCATGCATTGTGTAACTGATGTGTACATAGACATGTATAGTGTAATTGCTGTTTATTGATGTGTTCTTGCAGGACTCATCTGCAAAAGAGTCAGTGGTCTCAGCATGATTCCCTGGCTAAAAAAAAAGAAAAAATAGGAAGACAACAGGTATTCATAATATTTTTTTGCTAGGGGGTTCAACCAAGGTGCTCTTTGAAGACATAGGATACATGGTCAGAAAAACATTCAGTTTCACATCTGAAAACCTGACCAGGAAAAACTCTAGACCCTAGCTACAGGTTATTTTCCCTAGTCAAGACAAAAGATTAGAGAAAAAGAAATGCTGTTGCCACCTCACTTTCCAACCAAGGTGCATGAACCATTGAGCAAGCTGACGGTGGAAAGAGATTCAGCAACTCTTCGTAGAACAATGGAGGACCTTATGACACTGTAACTGACTTCCACTCACCCAGGTAGCAAATTAGTCCCTTGAGGTCGATTAGGAATTCCAGGTCAGGCAGGAAGAAGCTGTGCACTTTGGTCATGTGAGCCAGGTTCTTGAGTAGTGAGTGAGAGTGGTGGGGGCAGAACAAACAGTCCGTGGCAGGGATGGCCCCTGGTAGAAAGGCGGGGGGGTGGGAGGCCGAAGCAGCACCATCCCCTTCCTCGTGCTCCATGGCTTCGTCAGCATCTTCATCGAAGTCATCATCCATGTCATCGTCGCCCTCGCCATCCACATCCTCCCACTCTTCTGCAATAAAGAAACTGACTGAGTGACAATGGAGACAAACAGAGAAGACCCAAGACAACCACAGCAACGCTGACAAAAAGTGATGGCGTTTTGATATTACAATAATCTTGACAGAAGTTGACACATTCTTGGCCACCTCTCCATGCAATCCAGACAGATCCTACACATCACAAGTTAATTCAGGCCTACTTGAGTCAGACTACATATCAGACATCATACCTTCCTCTGCTGTGGCCAATTCCTCTCCCTCCATCTTCTTCGCCTGCCCCTCAAACCACTGCAGCCTGGGCGGTTTCTCCAGCTTGGCCTTATCCGCTGCTGGCCCCTCCGCCCCGGAAGCCTGTTCCTTTTCCGGATTGGGCCGCTGCGGTGGCTTTAGGGCCTGCTGCAGTGCTTCGTTCTTGGCATTGTGGTCCACTTTGCAGTCGTCCCCGAGGCCCTTCTCCAGGTTTTTCTCATTCATCCTCTCCACTTTCCTCTGGGCTGCCAGCAAGGCCTGCTTCTCCGCCTGCTGGTGCTTGTGGGACTGCAGGTGGTTCTGATAGGCATTGGAGCTGGAAAACTTCTTGTTGCACGTGGCACAGCCCTCACTGACAGTGGCGCCAGTCTCCTGTTGTTCGGCGGTGGCCCGCTGCGCTAGCACACGCTCCTGGAAGTTCTCTGCGGTCACAGGGGGCATGTCTGCAACTTTGCGTTTCAGGTTGTAACGGTGCCAGTCGGTTTTGTAGTGAGCACGCTGGACCTCGCCATCTGCAAAGGCCACACGACAGCTGATGCAGGTGTAGGAGGACATGGTGGTAGCTAGAAAGATAAACAAGAAGATTAGCTGACAGTGGCTCCCCTAGCATTACTATTCTTCAAGAATCAATGGCTTTATATAATTTATTGAAATGACCATTGAACAACAGTAACTATTGCAGATGTGTACCATTGAATGATATCTTCACCTTTCAGACTTGAGACTAACGTCACCTCCATTTTTCCACTTACCATGAACTTTTGTGGGGACAGGAAAGGCTGCCACAGAAGGTTCGTCGTCGTAGTTAACAGGAAGATTCATTCTAAAGTCAACCTGAGCATAAAAAAGTAAGTAGTTAATCCCAAATGTAACCACTTTCACATTATGGGTTAACGTTAGCTACAGACTTGGCTACATGCAGTGGTAGCTTACTAGCTAGCTATGTTTCATGTGTACACATCGCTATCACTGCATGAAAATGCATATATATTTATTTTTACATCTGTATGGTAGGATGAACAGGACTTTCGTCAACGAGATACATTTCATGACTTGACTAGTCTGATGACAAAGGAAAAACAAATCGCTGTAACGTTTAAGTTATAGCTTTCTAGTTGACTAGCTAGCGAACGTTACTGGTAGAGAAGTGCCCGTAAGTAAGTATTTCACTGTTATTCTAAACCTGTTTACGAAGCACGTGACAATTAAAATGTGATTTACTACCAGATGACAATTTCATTTTGAACACGTCATGAAATATATTGACTGAACAAGTGCAGCCAGCTTGGTAGCATTAGCGAAATCATATCTATACGGGGCAATGACGTGCTACTGCTAGGCTATAATAGGTAGCTAGCTATTTGGCCACTTATTAGCTAGATGTCTGAAACTTCAGTTAACTTCTAGCTAGAAAGGACATCACATACAAACAAGTTACACAGTTGACAAAGGAAATAACAGCTTACTTACCATTTAAAAGCCCTCCTTGCATAAAATGTGCTAGCTAACGACGTGTTTATACCAATGACTGCAAACTTTTCTTCCTCCACACGTGCGTATCAACGTCTCGTCAGCGACGCTAAAAAAGTATTTCCAGGTCACGGAATATCGGGAAATTTTCAAAATAAAAGTAATCCATGTAATAGTAGAAAAGTTTCAATAACCTGTATTTATTCATGATATATTAAACATAATTGTCTAAACATGAACAATCATTCATATTTGTTCATATTTAAGTGACATTTGCATTACATTTGGGCTTTCAAACATATAATAAATGCCCCCAAATGCAAATCACTGTATATGAAATATACAGTATATTGGCTTATAGGGCAAAAGCGATTGTAGGTGCCACAGTAAAGGTATTGTAGGGAATACTCAGTAGGGTCTGTAGAATCTATGTATGGTGTCATTTTATGGGGCTCTGAATAATACAGTGTTGCTGGACTTTTACTGTGGTCAAACAGCTTAAAATGGGGTGTCTGGACACTCCGGAGCTCAATTTTATTTATTTATCCTTTTCTGAGTGACTGAAAATGTATGATATAGAAAATGTACTACACAGTAAGGATTGGACTCATTAATATTTTCTGAAAATATGCCTACCCATGAGACATTTTTGAAATACCTACCACTTTTCTCAGAATGGACCCTCTCCCATTCATCACGAGTCAATGTAAACACACCATTGTTTGGAGTGATACTTGTATTTATTATGGATCCCCATTAGCTGCTGCTTTGGCAGGAACTACTCTTCCTGGGGTCCAGTAAAATTAAGTCAGTTATACAATTTTAAAAACATTACAATACATGTGTTTGTGTCTCTTCACGGTCAACGCTGTTCCAAAAGGTGTATTTTTATCTTTTTTTAAAAATCTAATTTTACTGCTTGCATGAGTTACTTGATGTAGAATAGAGTTCCATGTAGTCATGGCTCTATGTAGTACTGTGCGCCTCCTATAGTCTGTTCTGGACTTGGGGACTATGAAGAGACCGGCATGTCTTGTGGGGTATGCATGGGTGTCCGAGCTGTGTGCCAGTAGTTCAAACAGACAGCTCGGTGCATTCAACATGTCGATACCTCTCAAAAATACAAGTAGTGATTAAGTCAATCGCTCCTCCACTTTGAACCAGGAGAGATTGAAATGCATATTATTAATGTTAGCTCTCTGTGTACATCCAAGGGCCAGCCTTGCTGCCCTGTTCTGAGCCAATTACAATTTTCCTAAGTTCCTTTTGTGGCACCTGACCACACGACTGAACAGTAGTCCAGGTGCGACAAAACTAGGGCCTGTAGGACCTGCCTTGTTGATAGTGATGTTAAGAAGGCAGAGCAGCGCTTTATTATGGACAGACTTCTCCCCATCTTAGCTACTGTTGTATCAATATGTTTTGACCATGACAGTTTACAATCCAGGGTTACTCCAAGCTCACCTCAACTTGCTCAATTTCCACATTATCCATTACAAGATTTAGTTGAGGTCTAGGGTTTAGTGAATGAATTGTCCCAAATACAATGCTTTTAGTTTTTCAAATATTTAGTACTAACTTATTCCTTGCCACCCATTCTGAAACTAACTTCAGCTCTTTGTTAAGTGTTGCAGTCATTTCAGTCCCTGTAGTAGCTGATGTGTATAGTATTGAGTCATCCGCATACATAGACACACTGGCTTTACTCAAAGCCAGTGGCATGTCGTTAGTAAAGATTGAAAAAGGAAGCGGCCTAGACAGCTGCCCTGGGGAATTCCTGATTCTACTTGGATTATGTTGGAGAGGCTTCCATTAAAGAACACCCTCTGTGTTCTGTTACACATGTAACTCTTTATCCACAATATAGCAGGGGTGTAAAGCCATTACACATACGTTTTTCCAGCAGCAGACCATGATTGATAATGTCAAAAGCCGCACTGAAGTCTAACAAAACAGCCCCCACAATCTTTGTATCATCAATTTCTCTCAGCCAATCATCAGTCATTTGTGTAAGTGCTGTGCTTGTTGAATGTCCTTCCCTATAGGCGTGCTGAAAGTCTGTTGTCAATTGGTATGCCTGAACCCTTCAAAATTGGCCTCATCTGACAAAACACATTTCAGTATATCCTCGCTTATTTTAACGTCAACCTCTCCAGTTACATTCTGCTCATCAGATTCTGTTTTCATATAGCTTACGATTTCCTCATCTGATAAACCTCTAGCACAACTTTCTGTCTCTAAGTGGTAGTATTCATTCCCAATATTTTGGGTGTCTGAGATTTGATTGAGCTGCACTACTGTGACTTCCTCAAACAAACTCTTGGCTACATCAGGATGAAAATCAGAAGCAGGCGCTTTATCCTCAAAAGTGTGTACATTTCGCATATTAAATTGGCAGTCTGAGGGTCTTCAGTTGACATTCCCTCATTTAAACTCTCCATAGGCAATAGCTTTTGAACCTGAGCCTCGTTTATATTCTCTGTTTGTTCAGGTATGACAGTCCATCATTGTTGCAGTTTTTGAAGCAGTTCTTAGTCACCTGTTAATAATCAGTATTTGGCACCTCCATTAGCGCAAGGCCAGAGTGCATGAAAGTCATGTATGGAATCGGGTTTTATTTCACAGTAGGGTGTTTTTTTCCCCAGCTGAAATTCAACACAAAAACAGTCAATGAATGTATTGTTTTGGGATTAATATAACATGCAGGAATAAATGTAGGCATCACAATAAAGACCAAGTCATAACCAGCAGGCTGTTCGACACAGCCCCCCTGAAAAACGGAACATATTTGTTTAGTAGAACCCCAACTGATTATTTTCAACGGCAGTTTATTTGAGACAGGTAGGAACATTTTATATTTACCAGTGTGTGGTCTTGCAATGACTAAAATATGAAATTATATTAATATGCGTTTGGGCCACATATTTACCACATATTTGGAGATATGCTGACAGTGACAACATAACATTCTAAAACAACATAAAGCTTCCGATGAGCTAGATTTTTGTTCAAACTCACCTGTTTTGTATTCTAGGGACTCTAGTGAATAGACTGGACCCTGGTTTTATGGACACACAATCGATCGTTTTTCCTGTACAGTGCTATATTTGTACCGTATAGTGTCCAGGCAACCGACTTTAAGCTGTTTGACCACTGTAAATGTCCAGCAATGCTCGTATTATTCAGAGCCCCATGAAATGACACCATATATAGATTCTACAGATCCTTCTGCGTACTCCCCACCCCACTTTTACATCGGCACAAATAATAGGTTTTTCTCTATACGCCAATATGTAATAGGCGGAATAAAAGTCCAGCAACACTCCATGAGCCCCATGAAATTACACCATATATACATTCTACAGACCCTACAGAGTATTCCCTATAATAATTTTACTGTGGCACCTAGAATAGTTTTTGCTCTATAAGCCAATATGTATTCCATATACAGTGATTCGCAGTGGACAATGGAATGGGTGGAGTAAAAGGCAAGGAAACACTCCTTATTATTCAGTGCCTCGTGAAATGCCACCATATATGGATTCTTTTTGTTTGTTTGTTGGTAAGATACAATTTTTTTCAGCAATACAAAACATTCACATACAAACGACAGCATACAGACGCACACACAAACATCAACGACATCACACCTGCCCAGACCTACCTGCTCACACCCCCATCTCCAGCGCTCGCATAACTCTCCGCCACATAGCATCAAACTGCACCATTTTGTTCCTCTCTGTCGCCCACGCACTTTTAACATTTAGATAATAAAGCATCTGACCTTCCATTGTGTTAACGATGGAGGATTGGTTGATTTCCAGTTTTTAAGAATACGTTTTTTCAAGATGATTGATGAGAAAAGTATCGTCAAACCCATCAGGTATCTCACTGCACATTCATTATGCCATGTCTTGAAATATGCAGACAGATGGATTAAAAGTACATTTACATCGTAATACTTCTGACAGCCAACTTTCTAACAGCCTGTAACTTTTGGACTTCATAGCATTCCCAGAAGGCATGGATTATTGAGTCATTGTTAGTTTTACATTTAAGACATGACTCTGTTGATGTGCTGTGGAATTAGTGAATTTTGTCTCTTGTATAATACATTCTCTAAATTGGTTTATTCTGGATTAAGTGTAAATTTTTGCTAACTGTAATTTCGTTAGTTTCAACATTACCTCCATCTTGTGCCAATATCAGTTATTTTTAAGTCTTGGTTCCAATAGTTTATATTTTATTCTAAGAGATTGTCAGTTGGATGGGCTCTCTGCAAGGTTTTGTATATCTTACTTATCATATGTCCCGTGTAGCTCAGTTTGTAGAGCATAGCGCTTGCAATGCCAGGGTTGTGGGTTTGATTCCCACGGGGGACCAGTATGAAAATGTATGCACTCACTAACTGTAATTCGCTCTGGATAAGATCGTCTGCTAAATGACTAAAATATAAATATGAATAACCTTTTCTGACTCAAATAGGGTTCCCTCAAGATTGTCCAAAATATTTCAAATCGACAATTCGTGATATTAAACTTTTAAGTTGAATGTGTTTGAAAATATCTACATTGGTCTGTCCAAAATTGCCTTTGAATTCTGTCATGGAAATAAATATTGTTATAGTGTTCGTAACTATGAAGTTGTTAATGTTCTTAGCTTTATCCTTTGAAAATAGACAGATTAAAATATTTTGGGTATGCGCATCTTCAATATGTACGCATTGTTCCTCTTTCGTGCATTTAACTACATACAGTGGGGAAAAAAAGTATTTAGTCAGCCACCAATTGTGCAAGTTCTCCCACTTAAAAAGATGAGAGAGGCCTGTAATTTTCGTCATAGGTACACGTCAACTATGACAGACAAATTGAGGAAAAAAAATCCAGAAAATCCCATTGTAGGATTTTTAATGAATTTATTTGCAAATTATGGTGGAAAATAAGTATTTGGTCACCTACAAACAAGCAAGATTTCTGGCTCTCACAGACCTGTAACTTCTTCTTTCAGAGGCTCCTCTGTCCTCCACTCGTTACCTGTATTAATGGCACCTGTTTGAACTTGTTATCAGTATAAAATACACCTGTCCACAACCTCAAACAGTCACACT